TTTCTTGCAATACACGCTAAATGCATGACCTAAGCATCACAGATCTATCTAAATCAATTTGTGATCAGCCAATCAATCAATCTCAGCCTCTTGAATAATCACAAGCCTTTAATCCTGAGATCCCCACTGGCTGCCCGTTTCCTTTAAATCTTTGAATCCATACTTTGTTTGTGTCCTTGTACTGTACGTGTCTGTGTGACCACCAGCCCCAGCAGATCAACCCTGCACTGTCGTTGCAGAACCGCACTGTGGCCACGCCGAGCCACGGGGTGTGGGACATGAGGGGGAAGCAGTTTCACACCGGAGTGGAGATCAAGATGTGGGCCATCGCCTGCTTCGCCACCCAGAGGCAGTGCAGAGAGGAGATCCTCAAGTGAGCTTTAAAAAATGACTCAAATATTAGTTTAAGTTTAGTTAGGGAGGAAATTATATACATTTTTGCACGTAAGATTTAAAAAGCTATGAAGAAAATATCATATTAAAGAAACCAATATTTAGATTAATTAAGAGAAATACAAAGTCTAACATTTATTTGCACTCTGGTATTAAAGTTACTTTTACAAATTGCTACATGTAGTTTTTTCTTTAAAAATTACTATTTTAGAAGAGATAAATTAAGTAGAACTCCGACCATAAATCATAATAAACCGGTACTTTGCTGGCTGTGACATTAAAAACATTCATGAAAATGATAACTTATGGTCATTTCTGTTTTATTCCTGTTTAGGAGCTTCACTGACCAGCTGCGTAAAATCTCAAAGGATGCTGGGATGCCAATCCAAGGCCAGCCTTGTTTCTGTAAATACGCCCAGGGAGCTGACAGCGTGGAGCCGATGTTCAGACACCTGAAGAACACCTACGGCGGGCTGCAGCTCATCATCGTCATCCTGCCTGGGAAAACACCCGTCTACGGTACAAAAATAACGTTTGAAACGCCACAACAACAAAAATAAATCAATCACACCTCCTACCGTTTATAAAGACAAACCCGAAGTAGCATACATTCTGTGAAGTGCACACAGTAAAATGTGGATGAAGAGTTACAGGAATATCTCGTCTCTAAACAGCTGAGGTGAAGCGGGTGGGCGACACCCTCCTTGGCATGGCCACTCAGTGCGTGCAGGTGAAGAACGTGGTGAAGACGTCCCCTCAGACCCTCTCCAACCTCTGCCTCAAGATCAACGTCAAACTGGGAGGAATCAACAACATCCTGGTTCCACACCAACGGTAAACACAACACCGCAAATAAAAGACTAACAAAGACCTCCTGGGTTCTTGCTGCTGGGACTCTTTACTTAGTCACATTCTTAAGTGGATAGGAAACATAATCAGCCTGTGTGGCATCAATTTCTTGTCTAATTGTTCTAATGTTTGACTTCACATGCAAAGGACAGCTGAATGCCAGTGTGTTGTTGTCTGATTCTTCACACTGTGATCTCTGTCTGTCTGTTGGCTGTGACACATCGCGACTGATTTTTTTCTTATCCCTCCAGACCTTCAGTGTTCCAGCAGCCTGTCATCTTCCTCGGGGCTGACGTCACTCATCCTCCAGCAGGAGACGGGAAGAAGCCATCTATTGCAGCGGTGAGACTTCACTTGGCCGACAATGTTGTGTTTTCTCTTCACTGACACTGCGACTGTCCATCTGGCTGTATTGCTACAAGTCCTCTCTCTGAGTTAATGTTGCACTGGTTGGTGATGTGACCGTGCTCCAGAGACACATCTACTCTTGTTGATGCAGAACAAAGCTACACATGAGGTTTTTAAAAGGCTGCAGTAGAAGTTTGCAGAAACATTGTTCCATAAATTCTCTTCAGTTCACGCTGCTCTATCATACAATCGCTGATGTGACTGATGTTGTCCCTACAGGTGGTGGGCAGCATGGATGCCCACCCCAGCAGGTACTGTGCTACAGTGCGGGTCCAGAGGCCCAGACAGGAGGTCATCCAGGACTTGGCCTCCATGGTGCGAGAGCTCTTGATCCAGTTCTACAAATCGACCCGCTACAAGCCGACCAGGATCATCTTCTACAGAGACGGAGTGTCAGAGGGACAGTTCAGACAGGTACAACTTGTTTCTTCCCTTTTTCTTGCTGAAATTTTACATTTTTAGGCACAAATAAGTTTTTAAAAAGCTAAAAGCCTTACAGTCATTTACTATTTGTTTACTCAGGGAGTCTGCCTGTATGTTTCTGTGTGTGTAGGTGCTGTATTACGAGCTGCTGGCTATCAGGGAGGCCTGCATCAGTCTAGAGAAGGATTACCAGCCGGGGATTACTTACATCGTCGTACAGAAACGCCATCACACACGCCTCTTCTGTGCAGATCGCAACGAGCGGGTGAGTTACACAAAGCAGTTCTTTTGTTAGACAACATGAATTGGACTCTGAGAGTGTTGTTATTGATTACAGATTCATGGTTCAGTGCTGTAAAGGGGCAGCGGGACCTTCTCTGAAATGAGTTTGTTAAATTGCGTTTCCCTCTCAGGTTGGACGAAGTGGGAACATTCCTGCCGGCACCACAGTGGACACAGACATCACCCACCCGTACGAGTTCGACTTTTACCTCTGCAGTCACGCTGGAATCCAGGTGAGCTTCAGGCAAAGTCACTAAAAAAACATTAAACTCACTGAACAAACAGCAAGAAGCTGGATAGCTGTAGTAATTAATGTACATAGATGTTCCCAAACACACTCCACTGCCTGTTTGTCTCCTCTCCGCTGAGCCGCTTTCTCTGCGGTGTGATTAACTCCGGTTCCCTCCCTCCAGGGTACGAGCCGGCCTTCCCACTACCACGTTCTGTGGGACGACAACTGTTTCACCGGCGACGAGTTCCAGCTCCTCACCTACCAGCTGTGCCACACCTATGTCCGCTGCACGCGCTCCGTCTCCATCCCCGCACCGGCTTACTACGCCCACCTGGTGGCCTTCCGCGCCCGCTACCACCTGGTGGACAAAGAGCACGACAGGTGGGGAGAAACGATTCAAACGTTACAAACACGTAGCAGTTCTGTCTCTTCAAGTCACCGCTAACCATTCTGTCCCTCGTTTCCTCCTCACAGTGCGGAGGGCAGCCACGTCTCAGGGCAGAGTAACGGCAGGGACCCCCAGGCGCTGGCCAAGGCAGTTCAGATCCACCACGACACACTGAGGACCATGTATTTCGCCTGAACGCCCCCAACCCTCCACTTCCCTCCATCTTTCCCAGCCGCTCAGCCAGTCTGCGCCCCCAACACCACCAACACCAACAACACCCGGGGCTGGTGAAGCATCGGTCAGTGGGAACTCGCTGCGACGACGGCTGCGACTGCGAGGCTGCGTAAAGGTGTAATAATAAGCCAGAGAGGAGTTACAGCCACATTATGCAATTTGAAACCAGCCAATAGTTTCTGTGCTCCCGCTCGTGCATCTCTCTCTCCCCTACATCTCCTCTGCTGTATTTAAATCACAGTGGACTCTGCCGCGTTTTAAAGCTCGCAAGTCACGTCCTCCTCGCCTACACGTTTCTGACAGCAGCTCAAAGTTTTATTTCGCTGTTTTTTTGTTTTTGTTTTTGTTTCTCGTGTGTTTTGAAGAATGGCGGAGCAGCAGGGAAAACAAAGACTGATGATTTATTTGGTGCATGGTTGGGCATGAAGCAGAACCAGTGAGGACCTGACTTTCTCCGTAGCCTCATGTTGAGCCGAATGTTTGCTGGTTTATATAATATAGACGTTTCTTTTTTTTTTTTTTACATGTTTGTTTGTGGGTTTTCAGCTTGTCTAGATACGATACTGTATGTGTCTTTTTCTCTGTCGAGCAAATGTGCGGTTGCCACGGCAACGCACGAGCCGAGTACGCTTGTAAAACGGCAGGCTGCCTCAGCTTCTGTCTCCCTTTAAGCCAGTGGTTCCTCACAGTCGTTCAGCCAGACAGTAAGAAGCGTAACTCTGCACTCTACCAACACAGACACTGAATGAAATCTTAATTATTCTCTTTTTTTTTTGTAAACAAAGCCACGTACAGCCATCGATGAGGTATTGTGTGTCGCGTGATGCCTTACTGCGAGGCGAGGTGCGTAAAGAGGACTGGTAGAATACAATGCCATGGCCACAAAAAATGAACTATTTTAAACTTCTCTTACTCATAGTTCAGCTTGGTACAAAGTGTAATACCAAACGTTTTCTTGTGTGTTTTATTCCTCTTGCTATTTATGAGTTTGTTTGTTCTCTTTTTAACTTAAATTAACATTCATTTTCAGCAATAGAGCAGAATTAGACCCTTTATATCTTCTGACGACCACAAAACCTTCTTTTTTTTTTACTTTTCCCACTTTTTACACGAGGAACTGACCAATGTAGTTGTCAAGAACTCCTTCAGTGCAATAAGGTGTTAACACAGAGCGAGCGGGTTCAGTGGTGAATGTGTTTTTTTGACGAATATTGGCGCTAACATTGTTTACGAGTGAGTTTTGGCAAGTGACCGTGAACTTGGATTCGGGAATGTACAGCATTTTGACATTCTTATGAACTTAGCGGGACTGATGCCGCAGACGTGAGCGTCGGTGGTGAAGTGTGATGGGGTTTCGGAGAGATGAAACAAAGTGCCTGATTTGTTTGGAGGGTGAACGGTTGGTTGGACGGAAGGTTTTTAATCGTACGTTGGTTCCGGGTGCCTCTGTCGATGCATTTAGTGGAAACGGTCGAACTGTAGAAACGCTGCACTGCCCGACACACGGGGCCGAACTCGAGTCGATCTCAACGCCGAGTTGGTGTGATTATTCCTAATGTTTTGGTTCCTCGTCATCGGGAAATAATTACTTCCATATCGACTTGACGCGCTTTGTTTCCTTGCGATCATAAAATATTCTGCGATCAGAGTTGGACGAGCTTTTCTGGAGATCATAAAAAAAAGTTTTATCATCACACAAAAACACTTTAACTGTCACAGAATAATTGGTTTATGATCTGAGATTCTGCTCTCACGTTATCACACAATAACTGTTTGATGATCTTAAGAAAACAAAGTCGTGTCATAACTTTAGTAAAAGCTTTTTTTAATAATCTAAACGTACATTCAGTGGCCACTTTGTTAGGTACACCTGTACAGTTAATTCAGTCTAATACAACTTGAGTTATCCATAAAGCCCGCTGTTATAATTCCTATAATGCTGTTTTTCTTTGTGCACTTACATTATATGTTTCAGCATTTAGGTCAGTCGTGGTGTCGTACTGGACTGGAACTGGGGACGGCAAAAGGTTAGACGCACCTTAACATAATGTAGTCCAGTACAACACCTCCTTTAACTTGAGTTTTTATACTTTTCTACGTAATAACTTCTGTACAGGCTGCGTTAGATTGTACAGATGTAGCTAAAAGTGGACACTGAGTGTAGTTTCCTTCACTTTCTTCACTTTGTGAGCAGGCGTTTACATCCAGCCACACGAAGGCAGATGCTGTCTACTCGGATGTGTGTCCTCACTCGGTGCACTGATAGGACTCACTGTTTGCACTCATTCATATTCAGATGTCTTTATCACCTAGCCTTGTTGCTTTTGTTTTCAGAGGAGGTCTGGGCTGGGTATCCCCCCAAAAAAACTGGTTTCACTACTTGAAATTCAGCACAAATTCTGAGCAGGGCTGCAACTATCGGTCATGTTCTTCTCCAGCAGCCCGAGGAGCTGTTGTCCTACCAACCCAAAGATATACAGTTTATTTTCATACATGACGAAGAAAAAGGATCAAATTCTCACATTTGAGTTCCTGAAATCAACAAATATTTTACAGATTTTTGTCGAAATGGTTGTTTATTTTTCTGTGGATCGTTGCAGCTCTAGTCCGGAAACATTATTAATATATTATTATAATTATCATCATTCATCATGACGTCATTACGTAATAGGGAACAGATTTTCTGCTGCATCTCGACACGCTGGCAGCTTATCGATCTCAAATTAAAACCAAATAATCATCGATACGATCTCATTTAAAAAGGACCTTCAGTCGTCGTTACCCAGGTGTTTGTCCTGCGATGCCCAGCCCTCGAGGGAGTCGCCTCCCATGGCCTTGCAGTATAGTTTAATACGGACGAAGCCTTCAGGTTTCATCACTTGGACCAAACCAACGTGCCTGGTCGGTGGGGTGAGCGTGGAGGAGGAGGAGGAGGAGGAGCAGCTGACGGGCTCTGTACTGCTAACTGTGCTAGCCACATGTCACCAGAACCAAACCTAAGCTGCTATAAGAAAACACGTTTATTTAATCATCAGATACATTATAGGCTATATATTAATACAGAGAGACTAAGAGGAAATGGTATTTTACTGCACTTAAAAAGAGAAACGCATGTGTTTTAAGGTCGAACAGTCACGATGCTGAGACGTTTGCTTCTCGTTTGCCTTCAGTTGAAGCATTTTAATTCTAACAGATGGTTTCCCCCCCTTCGGTGTTTGTTGTCACGTTGAAGCTGTTTCTTAATGTCAGACATTACCAGCATTTGATTTTACTTGAAGAAAATTAGTCGTGGGCATGTTTGACATTGTTGGCTAGTGCTCTGCTTGTTTTTTTTGTTTGTTTTTGGAAAGTTTATATATCGAGCCTTATTACAGTAATCTCTCTTTCCACTCATAACGCCACGTACAGTAAATAAAAACCTCTGGAGCCCGTGGGCGGGGCTTTGTGTCTTACAGCGCTGGACATCAGATGCCTTTTTTTTCCTCAAAAGTAAAAAGCATTTTTAAAGTCTGAAGTGAGATATATTTATATGTAAAGATATTGATGTAATGCACACACCACTTATTTTTTCTAACAAAAAAAAAAGTCCTATTTGAAGCAGAAAGCGTGATTAGCTGTGGTGAAAATATTATGGCGTTTAATAACCGTAGTGGTCCTAATTCTTTTTCCAAATTTGATAATAATGCAATAGGTTTCACTTGTGAAAAGCAAAAAAAAAAAAAAAAAAAAACGGTTTGCGTTTGCTGCATCGACCTGCTTTTGTGGGAGACTGTCGGGGGTTGATTTTGTCATGTAAGTGATCCGATGAACCATCAACCCTCCTCTGCAGAAGACCTGTGAAGACCTCCCTCTACTGTTGTTTTTATCATCTCAAATTAAAAAGAAAAAAGCTCATCGAAGACGTGAGAGACTGAATTTTGATGGAGACGTTTCTTAATGCATGTGCTGCATCAAAGATTATTCTTATTATTATTTTTTTTTAATTCTTTTTCGCGTATTCATGAGCAGAGGAGGGTTGAAAGTTCATCTTCGGACCCGGTTTTGTCCGTTAACAGACTGTGCCTTTCCTGATGGTGCTGAAGAAAACAAACAAACAACAACAAGAAAAAAAAAACAAAAAATCAAAGAGATCTTAACTTTCAGAAAGGGCGCAGAGGCCCGAGTCTACATTGATATTGATAAGTATATATTGATACATGACAATACTGTAAGGTGTGAGTGTGTGTGTGTGTGTGTGTGTGTGTGTGTGTGTGTGTGTGTGGATACCTCTGACATATGCCAAGAACACAAAATATGCAGAACTGATCAGTTGTGGAGCTGACCGGACCAAAAGGCCTGTGGGGATCGGTTTAGTAGACGGGCACTCACAAGCACAACCCAAAAACTAACATTTCTGAAGAATTAAAAATAATAATAATGATAATAACAATAATAATAATAATAATAATAATAAAAGGGGAACACTCATGACTCTGTAGGTAACGAGTAGCTCAGTGTAGACATTATGTAGCAATATTTATTTAACTTTATTTCTGTCGGGTGCCTCCCGTACTGCCTGTAAACACATTTTCCTCCTTATTTTTTTTAATTTATGTGTTCATTCTTGAATGGACGGCAATAATGAAGCAAAGTTTCTGTGCAATCAGTTCGTCTGGCCTTCCCTCACTGTATGCATGTCGCTATCTAACCCCCCCCTCCTCCCCCACCACACACACTTTTTACAATTTTTATCTTCCAATGTGAAATTTAGACGTTTACAGACTTGGGCTAGTTCTTCGGTTGAGTTTTTACTCCACGAGTGCCCGTTTCCCGTGTTAAGGGATTCCCCACAATAATAAATCGTTAAACCTCTGTGGTTGGCTGCATATCATACTCAAAAAGAAAAATAATGTTTGGGTTTCACAGTATATTAATATGCTTTTTTGTTTTTTTGTTGTTTTTTTTTTTTGCCTGATTATTAAATGGTGACACTTTTAGAAGTAAAAACTGTATGTCAAGACCTTTTTTTTTTGTCTTAACACTCATCTGATCCTGGTCCTAAGTTGAGCCTTTTTATTTGGTTGTCATATTTAATTTTTTTTGAATAAATACTCTATGTATGAAATGTGTTTTTTTGACTTTTTTTTTATTCTTGACGTTTTCTATTCTCGTAAAAAAAAAGGAAGTGGAAAGGAACACACTCGTAAATAGTTCTGATCTTTCCAGAGAGGCGATGGCAGGACCGAAGGAGAAAGCTCATGCTTGCTGTTTGCACTTTGCACAATCATAAAATTAATTCCATGTGATGACGTTCACATCAGGTATCACTGCCTCCAGGTGTTTACATGTCAGTATAAACGCCAATATCAATCTGCTTAATTATGGTAAGTTAAACATCTTTTATGTGTGCTTGTAACGGATAGATTGGATCCCATATTAAACATTTTTTCAGATTATCAGTATCATTATTTTTCTTTATACAGTCGCCAATAAAATACATTTATTGTAGGCTCACTTAATGACCCCACCACAGATTTGTTTTTGCAGCATTTAATTAAACATATGCTTAAAGTACATATATATTATACTTTATATACATTATATACCTTTTACTTCAGTATAAGTAGCAATATACCAGAGTGTCAAAGTAAAAGCACAAAAGTATCGGCATCAAAATCTACTTAAAGTACCAAAAGTAAAAGGATTTATTAGTTGATTTTATATTTTGTGTTGATATGATGATATATGTATAATGTGATATGATGATATATGTATAATGTGAATCTGCAAAGTAACTAAAGTTAATTGGAGTAAAAAAAATACAATATTTGCCTCCAAAATGTCGTTGAGTGGAAGTATGTTGGATAAAAATGAAAGTGAGTAAATGACATCAGCTGTACTTTGTGTTCAGTGCTGAACCTAGATAGTGAACATTATACCTGCTCGCATTTAAGATAAGATAATGTTCCTTTATTGATCCCCCGTAGGAGAAATTAAAAAATAATTGAGCTCAGTGCATCCGTGTGCTGAAGTACAGAGCCGATAGCAGGGCTGTTTAACATCAGACCAGATAATAGTACTGTAGTTTGGTAGAACAGAGAAAAAACAAACTAATTTAGTTACAATAATCAATAATAAATAATAGTTATAACTCCTCGATGCACAGCTGGCCTACTTAACTGGTAGGCTGGTTGTAATCCTAATTATTTTAAATAATTAAAGTGTACAGACTGTTAGTTAAAAATAAAATAAATAAAAATAAAATTCAGGAAACCTTCGGCAGACATTAGTTACATCAACACTTACTGTACTTTAAAGGAAACTATGGCCGCCACAGATAGAGTTACACAGAAATATGTCCCGTAATTCACCAACAAGCCTCATAATAAACATATTTTATATATAGTTCATTAAATGGGGATGTTTAGACAAAAACAAACTCACAGCAACAGTTTAATTTTTCTCTTTTTACATTTAAAACCAAGATGCATCCAATAATCAACGTTCACCAACAGAAGTAAATTAGATTCATTAAACTTTTTATAAATTGTCGGCGTGCACAATAAACTAATAAAAACGAGCCTGGCTGTGCTGAGCGCGGTATACAACAGGACACTATAAAGGGATGTTATCTGTGTACATGCACTCCACCTGCAAAGGAGCGCTGGGTTCATTATTATTGACAGGAAATGGCCAGAGGGCGGTTATCAGCCACTTCCTGTTTGAAGTCCCCTCAGAACAGACAGAGACACACTTTATAACTGCGGCGCTGTGTAACTTCTGTGTTTACACTTCCGGCTGTCTGTGCTTACAGCTCCATATTAGCTTGGCAGTTTACAGTCTCCACTTTCTGCTTATGTAGTCTAACATCCCACTGGTTTTTTAATTGCTTTATCCCTCGCTTCCTGTAAAACACTCATCTTTGATTAAACAGCGTCCTTGTTGCACCGTGACTCACAGAAAAGTATATTTAACCTACATGTATGTGCCCTTATAGGGGACACTTGGGAGAGCAGCATCATTTCAGGTCATTAGAGGAGCATTAAAGAAGCCCTTCTGTATATTTATTTATATATATATATTTTTTTATGGTTTCCATTTAGTTGCCACGATAACTGCAGTTGGCTGAGAACAGCAGCCGGATGTGTGCAAGTTCAAACTTAGCCTAGTTTTAATGTGAATGATCACTAAAGATTCATGCGTTACTAAAATAAAAGCGGTTGAACCACACAAAGAGAAGTTGACTATACATAACAACTAAATAGTTACATATGACCCTAAAACAGCAGTGTTTTTCATTATTTGCAGCCATTTTGAGGCACATTAATCGAGTAGAAACCTAATTTATTGATGTGGTTTTTCAACATCAATCGAGCTTACTGCGATGTGCTACGAAGCCACGTGGCTCAGTGCCAGTCAGAAACCTTTACCATGACTTTACGTACAAACCAGTGAGTTTATCCCCCAAGTAATCGTGGTGCGACCACCTTCAGTAGCTGATTTAGTTTCAAACTAACCAGTAGTTTCTAAGCCTCTAGTGTCGACTTTACACCCAAACTCAGGAGAGAAGTCACACACAGCTGAAGCAACCCAGTGCAGATCATATCCACGTCAAAGTAACATTTCATAAATAACTACTTATACGTGGTTTTCTACGTAAGTCACACTTAAAGATCATTAGAAATGAGTGCCCTAGTCTTTGAGATATTTAGTTACCACCGTAACCCCAGTCCTCTGAGAACAGAAATCTATTTTGAGTTGATCCTGCTTGGATGGGCGTCACACTCTCCCGTGTTAAAACTGTTTGTGGAAGTAATTTTCTCCATTTAAAATGTTATCCTCAATGTTCATCGACACAAAAACACAGGAATCTGCTGCGTAATGTCACGATCCCACAGGTTTATGCTATGGTTGCAATTATTTCGTCTTTGTTGCTGAGAAATCACGTTTTGTCCGTCAGTTTTTGCCCCGTGGTCGGCTCCAAATACTAGTGATGTTTGTTTATAGATCACAAAAATGACTTTTCTGTGAATGCAGCGTCGGATGTTGGAGTTTCCCACCTCCACCCTCTACGCCACTAAAACAAACTGAACCATATGTTAAACACTGAGTCACTAAGGCAAATATGCTGCAATGAGCATTTCAAATGATGGTTTGTTTTGTCTTTTTTGCTCTTTATTGAACTCTGAATATGAATAATCGGCTGTAGAGATCCTCAGACAACAAACCATTTATTACTGCAGATCTTTATGATTATTATGAGCCACACTCGCTATACTTTAGCAATGACGCTGCTTTATCAGACTTTATAGCTTACTGCCAAGTGAAAAACATTCTCTACTGAAGGATCCGCGACAGTGTCACAAGGTTTACTTACACATGATTGATTAACGGTTATCAGTCTAACTGGGGGCAGTGGTTAAAGCCTTATTTCCATGGTTCTGTTGTGCCATCTGTCATGTCATGTTATTGTAAAATGAAGACTTAAATGCTGATTAAACTACATTTTCAGCTTTGAATCAACAGATGATTAACTGAAAATGAACTTGCACGTGTTTATTGCATCCCTTTTAAGCTCTATAAAAGGTACTGACATGACGTGAGGAAGGACACTAACTCCACTGTCAGCCACAGTGATCGGTTCACCTAAATGAAGCCCCTGAAGCCCCTCTCATTGGTTAGAGTGAAATAATAATTACCATCTCTTCATTTTGTCCATTTTGCATGAAATAAACTTTCAAAAATACATTTTTTACATGAATAATTTCTCCAGAACTTTCAAGGCACGGGTGCTTCCTTGTATTTGTCAGTCTTGGAGGGTTTCTGTTGAGGACAGTGAGCAGCTCCTCCTCCACACTTCAGGATGTGCAGCTTCGCCATGATGTTCTTGCAGCAGTGGTCTAACATGCTTCTTACAGTCGCCGAGGAGAAGTAGAAGATGAACGGATCCAGGCAGGCGTTGAAGGTGCTGGAAAGCAACGCCACGTCCCTCCACTCCTCGCTCTCAAAGCGAACAAACCCCACCACATGGGAGGCGTTGTAAGGCCCAAAACACACGGCGAACACTATCAGCGTGCCGAGCGCCAGACCGATGGCACGCAGCCTCCGACGTCTGCCGATGTTTGGAAGACGGGACAGGATGCGGATGAAGTTGACGTAGCAGAAGCAGCAGATGAAGAAGGGGATGCAGAAGAGAACGACGAAGAGCTCCAGACGGATCGGCAGCAGGATGTTGAGCTCCTCCCTGCTGAAGTCCAGGTAGCAGGTAGGTGGAGGTGTGACAGGGTTGTTAGTGGCACTGGCATTGCTGCTGTCACTGTTTGCACCTTTGCTCCACTGGACGTAGGGAATGATGTAGACGACGCTGAGGTTCAGAGAGGTCACCACCCAGAACATGATGCTCGCCAATGTGGCGTAGCGAGGCCTGCGCCACAGGGAATACCTGAGGGGGTAGGCGACCCCCAGGTAGCGCTCCACGCTCACAGCAGTGAGGAGCAAGGTGCTGTTGTAGATGGTGACGTAGAACAGAAACCCGGTGAAGGGACACAGAGGGTAGGGCAGCAGCCAGTCCATGCCGTCTGCGGCCTCCTTCATTTTAAATGGCAGGAAGGCGAGGAAGATGAGGTCAGAGATGGTGAGGTTGAGGAGGAGGATGTCTATCGGGACGGCCTTGCGACGCACCTTGCGGTAGAAGGTGCAGAATGCCAGGATGTTGGCAGGGACCCCCATCAGAAAGGTGAGGATGTAGATGGAAAGCAACAGGCGACTGCACAGCATCGCGGCTGCTCGCACCGGGGACAGACTCTCTCAGACACTGCACAAAGAAAACATCAGCGTACTGAACGGACTCTTCTGATTGTGAGAACTAATGATGATGAAGATGAAGATGAAGTTTAGTATAATTTTAGTTCAGATTGAAATATCTCAGCTACAGACTGCGACATTCACGGCCCCCAGAGGATGAATCCTGCTGACTTTAGTGATCCTTTTCTCGTAGGAGCCACATTGTTTATTTTTATTTAGGTTGCTTTTTTGATTATTATAATTTCCAGTTGTTGAGGGGTGTGGTTTCACCTTAATTACCTTATTTGTTCAGTGAGATGACGGAACTGAGACAAAGAGTCTTTTCTGTTTAATAAACTGTATAAAACACATCTGGAGCTCTGTCTGGATTCTTCTGTTAAACATTTGATAGTAATCAAATCTTATTTGTTCATTACTTTGAAAAGATCAAAACCAGCGATATGTTTGTCTGTCTTTTAATACTTTTTTAAATTGGTTTTACATTAACATCCATTATAGAGGATGGACAAAAAAATCTAAATACTGTTATGACTTTGTATCTCTATCAGTTCACTATGGTAATCCAATATGCATTTTACCTGTACAACAGTTTACCATAATAACATCAAAATAAATATAATAATAAGTCTTTTAATACTTTTTGACTTCTCAGCTCATCGGTTCATTCTAAGAAGTACTTTAAAAACAGGTTCACAAATACTACATTTTCTTTACAAAAGGTTAACAAATATCCTAAAACTGCTGTTTAAAGCATATGTTGCTCAAAAAGGAGTAAGTTAATATATTTTCAGCTGTGGATTTGGTTCTGTATTGAGTTTTAGGACAGTATTTGTAGGACTAACTAAAATAAACTACAGACGTTCACTGTAATGAAGAATCATAAACAGTTTTTGTACAATAATTGAGTTAGAATGATCAATTCATTGTTCAAGTATTTTTCTGATGGACTTTTGTAAAAAGCTTTGAATTTCAGCATCCACTTCCTTCAGTTTAATATATATATATATATATATATATATATATATTAATATATTTTATTTAACCAAGAAGTCACAACATCAGTCTGGAGTGTTACTGCTGTAGAGCATGAAGGGTGGTTTGCTTGGAGGTGAGGTCCATTTTTAATTTATGTAATTGTTTGATTAAAATTTTTAAATTTGTGTTCTTGTTTGAAGTTTTTAAAAAAAAATATATGCACATGGTATTGGCATTTTATAGAATGTATTTTTAGTATTTGT